AGTGAGCTGACCAGTCGCAGGCCATGTGAGCAGGGAGTTAGCAGGCTTCGTGACCTCTGCTAAGACAGAGCAGGGGCTGAGCAACAGCCTGGGTGGCTTGGGTTTCTAGACTTAGCACTGTGACCTTGGACAGGGGATTTAAGCTCGCTGGGCTGTAGTTACTCGCCCTGCCAAAGGAGAGACCAGCCTAAAGGATCTCCGGGGGCCCGTCCTCTTATTTGACCAAGCAAGAATCATCTATTAAAAATGCCTGAAAATGTAGAACCACATGTGTTAGTTTGAACTAAATGGGACATTGCCAATATTTGACCATTTTTAACCTCTATAAAGGGCAACTTCAAATGGTTCAACAGAACATAAATAATAGTTGCCTTCACATTCCAAGGGTGAGTGCCTATGACGGTATATTCTACTTAGAGGAGGGGCAAGTGTTTACACCAAATGTGGTCAACGGCTATCAGTTAAATAGTTATTCTGGGTAGCAGAAAAGTTAATCTGCTTGTTTTAGCAGAACGTCCGTCAATGAAATAGCTTTCACACACTGTAATTTGATTTTTGCCTGTGGACGATGGGCTGCCCAGCCATGCCTCACGCAACAGTGTCCGAATAGTGACCCTTCCTCGGACTCCACTTTTTCAGGCTGGCCAGGGGTCAGCGCTTAGGCAGTTAACCCCCATAGGCCCTTTTCAGCTCTGTGATTAAGTGTTATCAGAAAGCACCTCCTGACCTGCTTAGCAGCAGGCCTTTGTCCATATTATATAGAAGAGCTGAACAGATAATCAGTACTATCAGCTCTAACAGGCCCATGAAGGCTGCCTCGCCCCCACCTGGAAACAAACCCAACTCCAGAGGATCTTGGCACTGAAGTCCTTCATCTCAAAGACATTTCGTGGCAGAGATTTTTGACTGGGCTTTAGGGGCCCCAGGAGTCCCCTGAAAGTGAAGGTAGCGCTTCATATGTGCATATGTACAATTTTCTGGGGAAAAATAAAGTCAAGTTGTTTTATTTTGTTTTTCAAGGAAGCTAGGGACCCGACCCTCCCCACAAATGAGTTAAGAATCACTATTGTAGTTTCCAGTTGAATTCTGTAGAACACAGGAGAGGAGCGTTCATTCATGCACCGAACCTGTAATAAGGGTCTGCTATCCATCAACCCAAGTGCAGTTCCGGGATTCGAAGGTGAATAAAACAATCTCTGCCCTCCAGCAGCTCAGTGCTTATGTCATTTGGAATCAAAGGACTTTCTCTCTAAACATCAGTTTCCTCGTTTGTAAAATGGAGGTACTTGCTTCCATTTTAGAGTGGTTTTGAGCATCCCATGAATAGCACACAATAAATGGGAAAATTGAGGACAAGGAAGCAAACACACATGACAGTTTGCAGGAGTAACACAGAAAAGGGATCTCCAGCCCATGCTGGGAGGTCGGGGAAAAGCCTGTGGACAGGGAGACTGCCGACCTAGGTTTCTGAAACCATAAGAGCAAACCATCTTTTTAAAATGTGTGAGTGTGATGGATAAAGAAGATGTGGCACATAGATACAATGGAATATTACTCAGCCATAAAAAGAAACGAAACTGAGTTATTTGTAATGAGGTGGGTGGACCTAGAGTCTGTCATACAGAGTGAAGTAAGTCAGAAAGAGAAAAACAAATACCGTACGCTAACACATATATATGGAATCTAAAAATAAAATGGTTCTGAAGAACCTAGGGGCAGGATAGGAATAAAGACACAGACCTGCTAGAGAATGGACTTGAGGACACGGGGAGGGGGAAGGGGAAGCTGGGACAAAGTGAGAGAGTGGCATGGACATATATACACTACCAAACGTAAAACAGATAGCTAGTGGGAAGCAGCCGCATAGCACAGGGAGATCAGCTCGGTGCTTTGTGACCGCCTGGAGGGGTGGGATAGGGAGGGTGGGAGGGAGAAGGGCAACCCAGGGAAAGTCCTGGAGAAGATCAGTGCTCTCTCCTCTCTCCCTCCGCCCCGCTGCCCCTTCCCCTCAATACTTAAAGTGCCCATCCACATTCCAGCGTGGAAAGCTGGGGCTTCCCTCGAGGCACCCTGTCCTGGATGGTCTTGCTAAGCCTGAGAAGATGCCTCTCCTGTGTCTGCTGTGGTCTCTCGGAGCCCTGAAGGAACAGGCCCTGGCCCAGAGTTTTCACAGGTGGTGAAAAGCTGAAGAGTCGCTTTGATGAAAGCATTCGCAGAACTATGTTGGCAGTGAGCGTGACCCTGCTGTCCTTCCCCCGTAACACAGGGACTTTACTCCCTCCACTCAGGGGTGCCCCTGGAATTCCAAGCACAGCGGCACAGCCACGAAGGAGATGCATGCGAGGCGGGCAGGCAGAGGAGCTCAGAGCACGGAGGAGCTCGCGATGCGCCCTCCTCTCTGGGGAAACCCAGATCCAAGGTGGCCTCGTGTAGCCCAGTACATGCTGGCCTTGCTTCAGAGAACCGCTGTCCAATGAGCAGAAATAAGTAGACCATTTCCCATCTTGGCAGGAAGAACACGAAGGGGACCCAATTCTCTGCCCTGAGGAGGTCCCCTTCTTCCCCTTCTCAGTTGCCTCGTACTCCACAGTCCCTTGGGGCCTTCCACCAGACCGAACTTCCCTCGTCACCCACCAGTCTTTGCTTTTGTACACTTAGCTCCTCTGGGATTCTTGTTTGTTTTCATTCTTTGTTTGGTTTTTTAGTTGTCTCTGTGTTCTACCCATTCTTCAATTTGGCTTCACAGAAGGAAACTGAATTCTCTCCAGAGGGTGCAGCAGGGGGATATATAAGCTGGGAAAATCACAGTTTTCTTTATTGGATGAAGCTGTGGGAAAGGGTTGGCAGAAACAGAGGGTGAGGGCACTGGTAGGTGAAGTGATCTGACCACGGGAAGGGGGGGGTGGGATGGAATTTTTTGGATGGATGAAACAAGTGTGAGCTCCCCCCAGATGAGTAGACCTGGGCTCTTCAAGGGTTAAGGAGCCAGTGGTGAAGTCTTGACTCGGATTAAAGCCGGTTTAGCTATACTCTTTCACAGTGAACTGTGTTATTTTAAGGGGGAGAAAGCGTGCCTCTGTCACATTACCTGGAAAATATGCTTGGTGAGTACTTTGGGGCAATCTTACCTATTTGTTAAGTTACTTTTCAACCCGCTCTGTTCACACCTGTGACAACTCTCTGCACCTTGCATGGTTGTTTGTTTGCATCTCTCCCACTACACCGAGCTTCCTCAGGAAGAATTCTCGTACTCGTCATCGCTGCATTTCCGATGCCAGCGTGTTCCCGGCACATTCATTTACTCATCAGACATCCATTGTGTGCCTACCGTGTGCCAGTTTAGTTGGTTTAGTGCCAACATTCACTAAACCAAGGTAGGCAGAGGCGATGTGAGCCCTGCCCTCGCAGACATCATGGTCGAGTGGGAAAGGTGAGGCCATAAGCCAATCATCACACACACACAGCGACATATACACAGAAGCACCACATGTTGGGAAGAGTGCTTTGAAGGAAAGTAATAAGATGCTATTGGAGAAAAGTGATGATGGGGGTGGGGTTTGAGAGCAGGGCCGGGGTACTTTTCTCAGAAGTGACAGTTAAGCTGGGCCCCAAAGGGTGAGGAGGTAGCAGAGGGAAGAGAAGGGGAAAAGTATTCCAGGTTGAGGGAACAGAATGTGCAAATGTCCTGAAGCAGGAGAAGGTTTACTGATGTGGAGGAAGGCAGGCCAGGAAGACCAGTTGCCACGAGCGGAGAGTAAACTGGGGAGGTGGTCAGGGGCCAGCCAGGCCAGGCCAGGTAAACCCGTTAAAGAATGAGGATTTTATTTTGTGAACAGGAAGGTATTGCATCATTTTAAAAACAGGGGAATGATGTGCTCCCATTTCTCTCTTAAAAAGAGCACACCGACTGCTGTGCAGGGCAGAGAGGGGCAGATGTGACCCTGGGGAGGTAGTTTTGGGGAGGGTTGTATTGCATTGCATTGTATCAGCCAGGTGAGAGATGCTGGTGGCTGGGCAGTGAAAGTGAGGATGGAGAAGAGAGTGGGAGTTGAGAAATACCAATGATCTCTCAGGTTGTTCCTTTTTATCACTTGCCTAAAGTACTTCTTTCAAATATGGAGGCACATACTCATCTCTTTGGTATAACTGGAAAAAGCACTGCCTAGACATAGGAGGTGGAGTGGATTGCAAAGTCTGTCAATGCCCCTTGCAAGCTTCTGACCCATAAGTCTCTGAAAACACAGAACATACATCAGTCATTGTTTCCTTCAGCCGATGTCTGTTGAGTATCTGTTATGAACAAGGCATTGTGCTAGCCATTGTGAGGTGACCGACCTATTTAGAAACAAAGTAATGAATGCAAGATTATTGATGAAAATTTTGAACAGAAGAAAAATATAAGGAAAAAAAATCTGTGAGTATACCATCCACTATTTTTTTTTTTTTTTTTGCGGTACGTGGGCCTCTCACTGTTATGGCCTCTCCCGTTGTGGAGCACAGGCTCCGGACGCGCAGGCTCAGCGGCCATGGGTCATGGGCCCAGCCGCTCCGCGGCATGTGGGATCTTCCCGGACTGGGGCACGAACCCGTGTTGCCTGCTTCCCTACCATCCACTATTAACACTTTGAACTATTTATTTATCCAGTCTTTTTTCCATTTTCATCTGCATGTATATTTATTCACATATTTAAACTGGGATCGTAATACATATAGTTTTATGTACTCCATTAAACTTTTATTGTAAGATAGCATGAATGCAAACAATGCATCAAGTTAAGCTGGGCCCCAAAGGGTGAGGAGGTAGCAGAGGGAAAAATTTAAAGAAAATGTAAAGAATAATAAAGTATGCACTCACTCAGTCACCAGCCAGGTAAAGAAGAAATAATATTACTTCCCCCCCTTGCATGCCCCTCGCGCCATCCCTTAAGGTAGCCAAATGCAGAAAGAATTCATTTTCTTAAGCTTGTTCATATATTTTATTCTTTAAATTGCAGCAGGAGGGAAATATGCCTACTTCATCCAACCTGACACAGACACTGGAATATGTCTTCAAAAGGATTTTTGTGACTTACATGGACAACTGGCGCAGGAACACAACAGCTGCACAAGAGGCCCTGCAAGCCAAGGTCGATGCTGAGAACTTCTACTATGTCATCTTGTACCTTATGGTTATGATCGGAATGTTCTCTTTCATCATTGTAGCCATCCTGGTGAGCACCGTGAAATCCAAGAGACGAGAACACTCCAATGACCCGTACCACCAGTACATTGTGGAGGACTGGCAAGACAAGTACAAAAGTCAAATTGTGAACCTGGGAGAATCAAGGGCCACCATCCACGAGAACACTGGTGCAGCGGGGCTCAGAATGTCTCCTTAATTAGCGAGAGAGGCATACAGCCAACGTCTGACATGCAAATATGAAGAGACGCCAGTGTCATGGAGCCAATCCAAGTTGCCATGCTTAGAAGACACTAAGTTCCTCGCTCTCTGTTGAGAATTTTCATGGAGATCAGGTGGCTGGTCAACTAAGACAGGGGACACTGCAATCTCAGTGATTTATGCTTGCTCATTGGAGAAGTAATTTATGCTGAAGACCTCTCTTCCTTTCCGTGCAATGTCAATGTCATTTTAATCAATGTCAATAGTGAAAATAAAGCCAGATTGGAAGTAACATGCCTGGGCAGTGGCAGTGGGGTAGAAAGGAGAGATTAACAAATCATTGAATCTTCTTCCTCATGAAACATTTTGTTTATGACTAAATCAATTTATAAATAACCCAGGTGTATTACCCAGAAGCTGAGGTTCAAAAATCTGTCACTTGCTCACTGGATTGATGTAGGAGCATTTATTTATTAACTCATGAATGTAGAGTCTGAAGTGATGAATGAATAGAACCACGGCGTTCCTTTATGTGTCTTGTTTCCCTAGCATTGAGTTTATTTTTGGAAGTCTGAAGACAGAACAAACATTTCACAAGGGCAAAGAGTCCACACCAGAGAAATAGAATCTTTAAGAACTACCTGGTGCAACAGAAACATACCTTTTAATTAACATTTAAAATTTCACAGAAAACTTTTAAAAGTCCTTGTTATTATAGAAAAAGGAATAAAACATTGTAACACGGCTTTATACACAACTCTTTTCACTCAGTTTACTTTCCCTATTTACAGTTACTTATTTCCACTTAGTTTCAAGAAACTTGTTGTCACTTACATACTGAAAGTGGCTGAATTGTTGCTGTCTGTTGAAGAGCTAGACTGTTAACTGCTTAGTATTTTGAAGCTTGGGGTTCACAATATCACAGAATGTCAGGGCTGGAAGACACCTTGGAGATCATAGTATTCTTTTTTTTTTATTTCTTTCCAGATGTCTAGAGAGTCTGGGTGCTTTAATACCAGAAAATTAGGCACAGGAAAAAACAAGCAAACAAACAAATAAATAAATAAGCCTAGTCAAGAGTTGGCCAAAGACTGTCAAAACATACTCCTTAAGAAAATAGCCTCTGTGCTTCCTGTTTTGGAAGTTATTTGCTAATGGAAACAGTTGTGTCAACATTAGTCTTGAAGCAACCATGGCTGTAAGGGGTAATTTACAAGAAAGTGTATGTTCAAAGAGCAGGCACACCAAGGGTTCATGGGTTATCTCAGGATGGTTATGAGCAGGTCTGGAACCCAAGGTCAGCACCATGCTGGTTCATAATCCTGTATTAGATTCTTACTGCTGCTGTAACAAATTACCACCAATGTACCAGCTTAAAACAAAGAGATATATTCTCCTACACTTCTGGAGGTCAGAGGTCTGAACTGGGACTCACTGGGCTGTGTTCTTCTAGAGCTTCTAGGGGAGAATCCATTCATTTGTAGCCAGGAATCTCCAGTCCACAGATTAGGCGACTTCACTCATCAATTCAATCAAGCATCATTTAGTATCTATCTACTTGGGTCACTGGCCTAGACCCCAGGAGTATAGAGATGAATGGGACTCCCAGAGCTGCAGGAACTCACTCAGTCGAGGCGGAGTCAGACATGTGAACATCAAAACGATATAACGTGACGACGTTATAACGGAGAGCAACACAAAGGGGGCAGAGCTAGAGCCGGGACAGAGGCCCCGCCTATGTCGGGTTAAGGTCTAGAGAGTAGCTGAGAGGAGAAAGCCAATGGCAAGACGGACTTACGGGCTGTAACTTCAGGAAGCTTCACGCCCCCTTACACTCTTCTCTTCCTCCAGCTTCCCATCTACTCAGCTAAGCAGAGCAGTTGTGAGCAGAGCCTCAAGTCTCAGGGCGCTAAGACAAAATTCAAACCAGGAGTCCTTCTTCCACGTCTTATATAGATTACAAGCTTTGTGTCTTTAGAGCGAGATATATACAAGGTCTGTTTCCTAATAACAAAGATGCAATTATGCTAACAGAAGTGTTAAATACAGTTTTGGAGAAAGCCATTCACGTTCCAAGAGCAGATACGGCAAGAGTGGTTTCCCTCCTCAGATCAGAAACCCAGAAATGCTGTACCACACGGAACATTCTCACCAGTGTGCCCAGAGCAGCAACCCAGGCTACAAAATCTCAGCCTTGGGTCTGGATCCAGACAGGAATCCAGGGTCTCTACCATCTGACAATGACTATGTCTTTGACCAAACTCCGGTCAGGCTCCTCTGAGCCTTCTTCTTGACTAGACCTCTTGCCCTATAAACACTGCACATTCTTGGCAAAAAAGATATCATCCACCTCCCCACATCTGAACTAACACTACCATAGTTTCTAACAGCTCTAGGTTGTGTCCCTAAGGGGACCCCAGCCCGCTTTAAAGTTCTTGCCTAAGAAAACTCAATTTACTTTTTGTGCCAGCCAAACTCTGATGGTAGGCAAATCAGCCCCCTGAATCCCTCCTAGGGCAGCTATTTTAGAAATCTTACAGTTATAAATCCTTTGTCTCCCCCTTTGAGGTGTAAATCCTTACCACTCAGAACTGTCTTGTCTCTTTGAGGTGCCAACATTCAAGGAATAACTCTCCCCAACCTGTGGGCACGTTGCTCTAACATGCACCACTGCGGACAGTCATAAAGATCGAACTTTGTTTCTCCTCCAGATAAACGTCTGTTAACAAACCCAGGTCAGGTTGACCAATCCCCTCTGCTTTTTGTAAATTTCCACTTCCCTGACTCTGCTCAAGTGCCTGCGGCCCCAATCCCTCCTTCCCCTTTTAAAATGCCCAGTTACCTCTGGCAAGACAAAGCTGAGTTCAGTTCATGCTGGACTCTCTCCCCTATTGCAATAGTTGCTTAATAAAGTCTATCCTTAACACTTGAACTGGTGTCCAGCTTTGTCTATCTTTGACACAAGGAAACATTAAGGGGGGAAAACCTAGGTTTTCCTAATTAAGTATGTTTTATTATCATCACTAAAGTATATGGGGCCAACATAGATGGTTATCAGTATCAACTTTACTTTTGGGGAATGGGAGAAATGCCCAATGTTTACGAGCATTCTGGGTATACAGTTGCTGCCACTTGCCCCCGTTTGTCACTCCAGCATCAATTTCCACCAAACCCAGGCTTGCCACTTTCAACCTGGCAACTGAAAATTCCAGTTCAAACAACTTGCTAGTTTTCTTTTCCACCCCGTTTGCTTTTAGAGTTCCTTCTGCTTGGTCTACTGGCTCCAAATGACCTGAGCCCCATTTACTTCTTACAGCATAGATCAGAAGCGATTTGAAAAGGAACCTATGGACTATAGTGGCTGCCCTGAGAGAGTCTAGCTCCAGATTACCCATAGTCAGACCCCAGCTCTGGCGCTTGCCGGTTTTAAAACCCTGGACAATTTTTTTTTTCGGTGCGCGGGCTCTCACGGTTGTGGTCTCTCCCGCTGCGGAGCACAGGCTCCGGACGCGCAGGCTCAGCGGCCATGGCTCACGGGCCCAGCCGCTCCGCGGCATGTGGGATCTTCCCGGACCGGGGCACAAACCCGTGACCCCTGCATCGGCAGGCGGACTCTCAACCACTGCGCCACCAGGGAAGCCCGATCCCTGGACAATTTAATCAGTTTGTGTCTCCATTTCCTCATCTGTGAAGTGGTTACAGGCATATTATGTCCTTTATAGGCCTGTTAGGAGACTTCAATTAGAAAATTGCCGCAAAGTGCTTAGAACAAAGCTATTTTAGTTACTTTCTCCAGGAAAACTTCACTTGTTGACAGAACTAACCCCCCTCTCCCCAGTCCTCCAGTTTGTCCTTTCCTCTGCACTCCCTAACATTTCGTTCTTCACCAGCACCAAGATGTCCCAATGGGGTTCGGAGTTAGCCTGCCCGGGTTCAAATCTAGATTTTGCCACTCCAATTCACACGTTGTCTTGCGCCGGCCACATCATCTTCCCTTGCCTCAGTTTCCTCAACCAAAAAATGGCGAGCCAAGCACGTAGTAAGAAGTCTGTGAACCTCCCTCTCAATATCCTTGAACTGGGTGGGAGGGGGGGGAGGGTGGCCAGTCTGCGCCCTCCCGTGCCGCAGGGACTGATGGACTCAAACTCCGCTCCGGTTTTCTAAGCGCTTGTTGAGTGAAGGAATCTGGGAACCTAGTACCGGGCACTCTACTGCTCCCAAGGGAAAACACACGCATTTTGGACAGAGAACATGAACGCTAAATTTGGAAACTTCTGGGGAGCCACGTGCCCTCAGTCGCACACAGCGAGGAGCGTCCAGGGATGCGAGACGGCTGAGCGGCAGGAGCCCCCTCGACGCCCGCCCTCCGACCGCCGTCTTCCAGCTCAGGTAAGTTCATAACGAGAACCTGCCCGGGGCCAGGCCGATTCCGCCAGGTGACCCACGTCACGGCCCGACGAAGGCCGTCCGGCCCAAAACGCATGCGCGACGAGCGGCGCACCCACCCAGGCGGCCCGGGCCCACTGCGCCGGCGCGAGCAGCGGCGCACACTCCGAGGTGGCCGGAACCCACTGCGCCGGCGCGCGGAGCGGTGCATTTTGGGACATGTAGTTTTCTCGCGGCATTGTGGGAGTCGTGGTTCGTGTTCTGGCGGCGAGCTGGATCTTCCGTGGCCTGGAGTTGTAAGTGGATGGCGTCCGTGTCTGCCGAATCCTGACCCGAGACCCGGCAGCTCTTTGGGGGCGCTGTGGAGTTCGGCGGCCCGCCCCGCTTTTGCATTTTCTCTGCAGGACGCTCTCCAGCGGGCCCCCGGGGACCGCGGGGTTGACAGCGGTCACGTTCCCCCCCTTCCCCCCGCAGAGCGTCCTGCCTGGCTAGGTTGTCCAGGCGCCGCGAGATCGGCGGATCCGGCGCCGGGGGCGGCGTGTTGAGGCTGGCACGCAGGCCGAGGGGGGGACCCAGAGGTGGTTCCCGCCAGAGAGATTTGGGGGCGAGCGAATGCCCTGGAATGTTCTGTAGACTGGGGGGGGCGGGGAAGCAGTGGTCGCCCTTGGTCCTCATCCTCGGGTCTGAGCGGAGCAGGCGTTGCTCCCAGGTATCGCGGCTGTAGCGGACCCTGGCCCGGCCCTCCGGCTACGGAGGAGCCGAGGCTCAGCCCGTCGCCCTGGGAACCCCGGCTGACCCGGGCGTGGGGCTCAGAGGTCGACCAAGTGATACCCAAGGTTCAACTGGAACCCTCTCCTCCCCGCACCTACCTCTACTTCAGATGACTGGGTGAAGTGTTGGGGTGAAAACGGTAGAGACGGGGAATGAGAACAGCTTCGGACAATTCAAACTAAGGACACAGCCTAATGAGTGGTTGGAATGAGACACCCAGAGACAGACCGACCCTTGGGTGTGTTAGGTGTGCCAAGAAGAAAATTGTGGACTACACATTGTCCATATTGCTGTAATTGGCCTAATCAGAATAAGCCACTGGCTCTTCTGTTTTTTAGGAGAAATCTGGCAAAGGAGAAATCAGGATATTTTTGCAGTGAAGGAAAGAGAACTATTTCTTCCTAAGCCATTGTTATTTTTGGGTTTTAAGCTAAGACGGTGGATAGTTCCAGGGGAAGCTTAAAACTTCCTGCACTTCACAGATTTTATGCCTCTCAAAATTGTCCCGGTCTTGTTGGCTTTTGCAGTTCAGCCCTCAGATGCCAGCTGCCTCCTGGTTCTAATATTGCACCAGGTGTACATATGGCAGCAGAGCAAATAGCCTGATGATATTTTTAGCTTTCTCAGTTGTTCTCATTTGCCGAAGTCCTGCAGGGTGCTACAAAAATGGCTGAGTTGGAGCCTGTAATTTAAGGGAGATGGAGAAAAGTTATCATTTGGAGGCAGTGGGTGGGGATGAGTTTGATTGATTTGCCCTCTCATCTCCCACCCTCAATGCACCCCTTCCACTGCTTTGCAGATGGACTTTAAATATGTTTCTTTCCTAAAGAGATTGAATTTTATCACTCTAGATATGATGTTGAGGCAGCTGCCGGTATATTTTTAGTCAGATTCTGTGATATCAAAGAGAGTGGTGACTTAGGCATTTCAGTGTTGCAGCGTTGTTCTTCGGGTTCTGGTTTTTAAAATGATAACACTTTGGTTTAGAGAGGCTAATGGCTTGCCCCAGGTCACATGCCTTGGCACTGGTGCCACCAAGAATAGAGTCCCATTTCTCCTGCTTGCCCGGTGGTGGTGCTTTATACCCTGCTGTCACACGTTGCCCTGGATGCCACTTGCTTGTGTCCTGCAGCTTGACATGTCCGTTAGTGGAAAGAGGTATTTATCAGAACAGTTATGGTTGATAATTTGTTCAGTGCTTTTCATGTGCGGAACATGGTGCTTAGTGTTCATGATCCAGTCTTTGAAGGAGAATTTACAGACAAGGGAGCTGAGGCGTAGAGGCCCAGTGACTCACCCAAGGTCACATAGTACATGTTTACCAGAGGGCCAGACCCCCGGGCGTTCTTTTTATTTCCCCCATAACCTTTTTGGACCTACTCGTGGTCCTTGACCTTGGGAATTAATATCTTACCTACTTCAATTCACTGAGTATGTAATTTGGGCTCAGAAAATGTGTGGGGAACAGCCAAACGTGTCTACTTATATCTGCAGACAACTCAGTAAAAGCAGGCGTTGTAAAGATAAAATCTGCACAACCTTAAACATTTTAATTTACAACATGGCTGATTCCTGAGATTATTGGAGATTATTCAAAGTGAAAATTCCAGCAACAGGTTATAACCTGGTAGGAAATATTTCTCCAGTGCAGGGCAGAACCTGCTGCTACTTAAAGACAAACAGCCCATTTATACGTGAAGGTAACGCACACCTTCAGTCATGGTCATCGCATGTAAACAGATTTATGGTGTAAATTCCTGTTGTTAGCTTATCTGACTTTGAAAAAGTCACGGGGAAAACTTGGCTATCTTGTGCCAACTGCTAGCTTGTTTTCAACATACTATGACCTTGAGTAAATGAGGTCTGAACTTTCTCTATTTAGATGCTTTTGTAAGTGAAAATTTTAAAAACCATCTTCCCTGAAGTTTATCTCATCAGCCCCATTCTAAAGGCCTGTGAAATTTTCTGCTTGCTTGATTCTAATTGTAAGTACATTTAAAGAGAAGCATCCCCATGCTTTTTTACCGCAAAGCTCTCTGTCTGCATTAGGATAAGACTCCGGAGCCGCACTGGATGTGTTCGAATCTCAGTCCCCACCGTGACTCTGGACGTGTCACAGAAACTTTGTTTCCTCATCTCCAAAGTGTAGACGGTAAACTGCACCTCATGGGGCTGGTGTGAAGACTAGCTGAGTTAACGCATGTACTGCACTTCAGCACAGCCGGGCCCAGTAAAGCGAAGCTGTGACTATTATGCTGAAAGTCGCCAAACTGCAAGAAAAGTAGGGGCCCCAGAGCCCATCTAGTTGACACCCCCATCTTCACTTGCAGATGGGACGGAGGCCCCCAGAGGGAAGTCACTTACCAGAGTGTGTAGGCTCTTCATCCAGAGCTCAAGTCTTCTGACTCTTGGGGTATGTGTCGTATTCTAAAAATAGTGACGCAGGAGGCCTCAGAGCAAATCCTGTGCTCCAGCCGTGTCCCTGCCTTGTCACCTCCTGCCTCACCTTCACCTAGGTCTCCCTCACGTCTTAGAGGGAATTCTCGATTTGAACGGCTTTCTTAGGATATTGATTTCCCCCATCACTGATTCCCTTCCCTCCAGATATTTTAAAAAGCCAAGATTACCTGAATGAACACTCAGAGGACCTGGGAAATAAAATGACACTCATCCACAGACCGGCTCTCGTTCAAGGCAGGGCGTGGGAGGAGGAACAGATCCTGGACCTGGGCTCCTCCGTCTACAGATGAATGGAATGGGAGCCTGCGTCCCCTCAGGAGCAGCGCCGCCACCTCCGCTTGGCTGTGCTCCCTTCCCCAGTGAAGAGCTACCAAGGGCATCCTCCTGCTCAGCAAGAGCTCGACCCTCACCCAGGCCTTCTGCTTCCCAGCAGGCTCTGGTCCCCTTGCTGGGGACGCTTACCCTCCTCTCTGCAGAGCTTGCCGTCTTTGTTCATGGGCCTTCTCTCCGTGCAAGGGAAGTCTCCCTAAGGTGGTCTGCTCTAGAAAGCCCACGCTGACCTGCTTCTTCTCTTCCCCACCAGGACAGTGAGACCTGCCGCTCCGGCCCCCTCTCCAACTTGCCTGAGTGGAGTGGCCCGCACTGACCAGGTGGGAGCTCCCAGTTGGCCCAGCATGAACTGGAAGGTAAGAATACCATTAAACATTGATGGCTTGGGGTTTTTCCTTCTCCTGCTCGTAAAAATTCAGAATAATAGTTCTGTAGGGATGGGTTGATTAGGAAGCAAGAAAAGAAGGAAGAAAAGTAGATTAAAGCAGGAATCATAATAGTACATAATATTTTTAATGAAGACAGATAAATGTACATTTATGTGCCAGACTTCTGGAGGAAGGCTAGGCCTTTTCTTCGAGAGGACACCAACTGCCCTCAGGTCTGCCTCACTTTTCTTGCAAAAAACATGCCTTTGAAGTTTCACCTATAATTTCACACTTTGGTTTCTTTAAAGTGGATGACTAAGATCTGATGAAGCAATCTTCATACACGATCTTTCCTGATTTTTATGCTCTGCTTCTCTAATCTTTTACATTTGTGTTGCCAACAGTGGCATTTTTTTCCAGTTCAAATTGAGTCTTTCAAAGCATGCAACTTAGTTTTCATGGAAACAGCCTTTCCTTTACACAGTCATAGTTCATGAGTCTCGTGTTTAAATAAATTATCTATTATAACATCAAGTGCTACTTAAGTAAACTGGCTGCAGAATAAACACAACTGACCCCTGTAAAACCTTAGATGCAGTTGGTGGGAGCAGAAGCTCAAGGGCAACCAGAGAGTTTCCTGTTAGCCGCAAGCATTCAGAGGGCTGTGGGCATAGTCAGCACGTCTTGGAGAGGGAAGGGGAGTGTCACGTTACCTCCCGGAAGGAGATGGAATGGGGTAGGTTGGAGGTTGGCTAAGAGAGCAGTCACGAAAATAGATGCTTCGAAAAGGATCAAATCAAATCAAAATCATGTATCGTCTCAGTATCCAGAGATGGCTCCTATGAACAATTTTGGTGTATTTTCTTCCCGTGCTTTTTCCACATATATGTGTAATGTGTGTATTTTCAAACTCATTCTATGTATTTTTTCAACTATCATAAGCATTTCCTTGTTCAGAACAGCCGCTGACTTTCATCGCAAGAAGTGGAGAGGTCTGGAAGCAGGATCAGGGAGGCGGGAGAGTACAGACCCCCCCTCCTTCCCCAGCTCCATGGGGCTTGGGGGGCCCTGCGGGAGGGCTCCGGGGACTGAGCCTGGTTGAGATTCAGCAGTCGGAGTGAGCATTCTGTGCAGGGCTTGGAGATGCGGGAGCGTTTGTTTCGCCTGTGTTGGGGTTCCAGCGCTGCCAGTAGAAAGGCTGGGAAGGAAAGACAAGGCAGTAAGAGGGTGTGGGGTAGGGGAAGCAGAGAGCAGTGTGGGGTGAGATGTAGGGAAGGCTTTTTAGCCTCTGCAGAGCCTGACGACAGGCGGTAGCTGGTACCAGAGGCCACGTCAGCCAGCGAGGGTCAGACCGTGTGCTCGGTGCTGCGAGGCCGCAGCGTGTAGCATGACCACCATGAGGACTGGTTAAAATACGGATGTGACCCCATGCCCAGAGTTTCTGATTGCGTAGGCCTGGGGTTAGTGAGTTCCCAGGGGATTCTGATGTGTACCGGTGAGGCGCTACGCAGAGAAAGTTTTCTTTTTAATTGTGGAGTGACATCGACCCACTTGACCACCCAGGCCAATCCTGCTCGTCCCAAAAGGAGTCCTTTCCTGTGTCAGGAACAAAATCTGCGCGTACGTTCCCAACTTCGGGCAGACACACAGCTCCAGGGCTACCAGGGAGCAGCTTTGTGTTTAAAGGGGGGCGTCCTTCCATGTAGTGTCAGAAAGGAATGGCCTCTCCTGCCCTGATTGCGGTGACCCCCCAGGAGGCTGAAGGATTATGGAGGCCCCGGTGAATCCTGTGCTTCCCTTTCTAGCTCGGTCAGCCTGTGGCCATCAGTGACAGTCAGCCCTACTTGTGTATTAGTACCTTAGCAACAGAGTGTGTTTAAAAAGTCAGTCATTCTCATGACACAGGTATTGGGATTTTGTTTAAAAAATTGTTACAGATTAATCCACCCAGCTATATTTTACTCATTTACTTCCTTGAAGATTTGCAGGTTTGGGGAGTTAACGTGAGGGGTTTGTTAGAAGGAAATCAGAGGAGGAGATTTAACACGACTGAAGATTTAGCCAAACTGTCCAAGAGTGTTGCAGGAACAGGGGCCCTGAAACCTTTCGCTTTGGCCCTTGTGGTATCCTTGACCTCCACTGCCACTGCCCTGCCCCTTCTCAGTCCCGAAACTTCTGCCTCTTGTCACCTTCTCTCCACAGCCTTTAAAAAGAAAGTAAATACTGAAACCACTTACCTGGGTCCATTTGTTGTTGTGTTTCCATTTCAGTGGGTTTCTAACTTCTGGTTGCAATGATGTACATTCCTGTAACTGCCACAGCTAAGTTTTGGGTTTAGGTCACGGGAACCATGGGCTGTGATGGGTGCTTGGACTCCAGAGGCTCTCCCATAGAGATTGAGAGAATTGGAAGAGGGTAACTTTTGCCAGAGCAAGCCAGGGTTCGGTTAGCCCGGGAAGTCCTAGTGGACGTAAAAAGAAGTTTATCTCTCCAAACTGGTGGCCTTTGCCTCCAGGGAGGTACAATTTAGCAGCCTTTCCTTTCTCAGCTGGCTTATAAACATGGAGCCAATCCTCGTCCCTAAAATGTGAACCTTCAAGAAAGTAGATGAGTTAGAGGGTTGCTGGGGGGAGGTCGGGGAGATCAGCCATAGGTCTGAGGCAGGAAGGGCCTGGACACCACATCGGTATTCTAAGCTGCTTCTGCTCGTCAGGATAAGAGCTCTCACTGTTGTAACATTTTTAGTCTTTTACACTGTGGCCAGAGTGAGCGTTCTGAAGTGCATATGATGTGCGTATTCTTTACCTTAAAATGATTTTGTGGTTGAAAACCATTATCTAGTTACTCAGGGTGTTCTTGGGACATAACTTGTTGGTTTCATTAATTCCACCACATTAAAATCAAGAATCAATGGAAAGACAACTGGCGTAGGGGTTGGAATGTTCTGTTCCAACTCTGGCCTCCTCGTGAATTAGCCGTGTAACGTGGACGGCCTCTCAACTGCCCTGAGCTTTACTCTCCTCGTGTGTAGAACAAGGTGTAGACCAAGTCGTCTTTAAAATCCTTTCTAGCCCTCCACGTCTGCGAGCATACTGTTCTCAGCTAAAGGTTTCACTAACTAGTTTCAGATAGCTTCAGTTAAACCATTGGAGGGAGGGACTAATGCACTGTCCGTCGCAGAGTCTCATTATACTCGTGCTGCGTATAATAAGTGATGTTTGGCATTTAACCTAATGGTTTCATTGGACTAAATCCTACCTCGTCCTCTAGAATAATGATCTCTCGACGAAGGCATACCTTTTCACTTTATTTGGGAAGGAATTTTTAATCCCACAGAAAGCCCATAGTTATCACTCAGGTCATACTAATCATGTTTACAAAACTAGTGTAGTATTTGCCTTGAGATACTTGTGATATACAGAATTTCATAATAAAGCCTGCTGGTGCAAATAGTGAGTAATTCCAATCCCTGGTTATTCCCCAGACTTCATTCTAGCCAATGGGTTAAAACTTCCCTCCGACAGGAAATTATAGGAACCATAAACAAGTAGCTCAGTTTTAATGTTTTAAGTTTTATTGTATTTTATTTTTATATTTATTTTATCTTCAAATACCAGTGCTAATGAGTAGCTGGAACCAAGAGGAAATCACAGCATCCTATAAGGGTGGAGAATTCAGAAGGAAGTTTTGGTCCAGCCTCCCTTTGCAGGTGAAGAGGCAGAAGCTCGGGAAAGTCAAGTAATGGACCCAGGTCGCGCGGTCTGTCAGTCGGTCAGTCAGTGGCAGAGCTGAGCTGGGACCAATCCCCTGGCTCCGGCTTCTCGCACTGGACCGAGCTGCTGCCTCAGACGCAGGGGCCCAGGTGATCGGCAGAGTGCAAGGTCAGGTTGTGAGGGAGCAGAGTTATGACGTCTGCAGGCCACTGGTGGTCCTCTCTGTGAAGCCAGCAACAAGGGAGTGATGAAGGGCACCTAAAACTAGACTGTCAGTGACACGGGGACAGGGACCTCGTCTGTCCTGCATCAGTGAAGCTCTAGCATCTAGTGTAGTGCCTGGTGCGTAATAGGTGCACAGGAAATGTGTGTTGAATGAAGGAACACGAGAGAAACCTTCCTTATCAATTATAGATCATCTAGGATCATTTCTTTCCTCTTTAAGGTTCTTGAACACATGCCCCTGCTGCTGTATATCTTGGCAGCGAAAACATTAATTCTCTGCCTGGCGTTTGCTGGAGCCAAAGTATACCAAAGGAAAAAATTGGAAGCAAAACGGCAAAAACTGGAAGCTGAAAAGAAGAAGCAGTCAGAGAAGAAGGATAACTAAAGGGAAATCAAAGGTACTGGGACTTTGCAAATGCAGACTGCACAGTGGGTTAGGGCGGGCCTGTCCTTGCATGTGATAGTTCAGAGAATTCCAGATCCCTTGGTCTGAAGGCTGTGGGCGAGCGCGGAGCCCCACCTGTCACAGGAGGTAGAACAGCTGTGTATAAGGTGCGGGCTGCAGGTCCTGACCCTCGAGCCCCGTCTGCTGGTGAGCCGCAGGGCACACCTCTGCTCTCAGCCTGCGCAGGTTCCCCCTCGTTGGGAGCAATGGTGCTTAACAGGATTTGGGTCACAGGACTCTTGAGAATTTCATGACAGTTGTGGACCTTCTCCCTGCAGAAGCTCACGTACTAGAAACACCTAAATTGTACATAAAATTGCAGACAGGGGTGGGGAGGAAGTGGGGTCACAGGACATTTAAGACCCCTGCGTGTACCTAAGATTAAGAAGCCCTGCTAACCTCGGGATAATGACTCCTAGGTATGGCATATAAATCCCTTCCCGGTGTATCTTCACCCCGGTCACGTTTGCCCCCTTTGCTGCCCCTCTCTACGCTCCTGCAGGCCATTCCTTGACCACGATAGACGTTCGTGCCCCTTGGCCTTTGCTGGTCGGTCCCCTGGCCAGAGGGCCTTCCCGATGACCGCCTCACTGGGCACAAAGTCTTCCTCATCGTTGTAGCCCAGTGCCTGTCCCAGAGCGCAGGGGGTGCCCAGAATGTGTTTGTTGAGTTAAGGCACCAGGAAGTTATTAAACACCCACTTACAGATCGAACTTAGGACAATTAGCAGTTTCCTAAATTCTGTTGTGCTCACCCAGTTTCATCACTTCTCAGGTTGAGTTCTATGCTTTTCTCTAAACATTAGAGGATTCAAATATGGTAGCAGGGAGTTCTAGATCAGTGGTCTCCAAACTTGCCTAATGATCAGGATTTGCCTGGGGTGCTTGTTAAAATGCAGATTCCCAGGGTCCAGCCTCAGAGAGATTCCATTCTGCCTGTGGTTGGGTCTGGCATCTGTTCTTTTGAAAACTTTTTAGGTGATTCTTACGCTGTCTTCTCAGCAACAGGTCACTGTAGGAACCACTGGGTTGGTGACCTCCAAAACCTCTGTCCACTCTGAGACAGACTTCTGTAGATGTGAATTCCCTTACAATACTCGTAGACTTGTTGAGGCTAAGAAGCATACTTATGAGTAATAATTGTCATAACGTATTGAATGATTGTTCTGGGCTAGCATTTTGCTGAGCGTTTCACATACAGCGATGTTACTGACCACTCCTGACGGCCCTGTGTGGTCCATTCAGATTGAAAAGTGGCCCCCACTGTACATGGTGAAGAGCAGAACCAGAACTGAACCCAGGTCGAACGTTCAACCCCAGTGTGTCCCTCCCGGTCGCACTGTGTCCTGGTCCTGAATGCCGAGTTCAGGTAGGGAGCTGCGGGAAGCGCTCAGCTCCTGTTTCTCACCCCAGGGGAGGAGACCTCTCACTGGTCCTTAGTGAGCTGGATGCCCTGCCAGGCCAAAGAAGTTATTGTTATGAAATCTTGCCTTTTTTTTAAATAAAAATATGTTTTGGGGGCTTCCCTGGTGGCGCAGTGGTTGAGAGTCCACCTGCCGATGCAGGGGACGCAGGTTCGTGCCCCGGTCCGGGAAGATCCCACATGCCGTGGAGCGGCTGGGCCCGTGAGCCATGGCCGCTGAGCCTGCGCGTCCGGAGCCTGTGCTCCGCAACGGGAGAGGCCTTGGTAGTGAGAGGCCCTGGCAGTGAGAGGCCCGCGTACCGCAAAAAAAAAAAAAAAGATGTTTTATTGACTGAAATTCATGAGTCGGCACTAGAGGGGGAAGAGGGAGCACTTCAGAATCGAAGAAGGTGAGGGAAGGCAGTTTCCCTTGAAACGCTGATTGGATTTCTAATCCACAGAGTCATCATTTTGTGTGTTAACCGCAAAGAGAAAGAAAAGACGAGGTGCGAGGCCCTAAACGCTTCTTCCTTCCCACAGACGTCAGTAGAGGCCCGTCAGTGAAGTAGGGAGGGATGGCTTGTCCAGCTGAGCCTAGAACTGACCGGGGCAGCCTGTTTCCCGTCCTAGGCTGGCAGCTTATCAAAGCTTGGCCTGGAGCCTTGTTTTAAACAAAAGGGATTTTTTTTTTAGATGAAAGGAAATTGTGATGCTAAAACTTCATTCCTTAATAGATATGCTTCAGTGGTTTCTGCTTAAGTGTAAATGGCTGAACATAAAGGTTGATGCTGAGTGAGTAAAACAGTCCCTCTTACTCTGTGAGACATTTCATACTTCTCCCTTTGGTCTTCCTTTCTAGATTTTGTAATTTAAATGTCAGCTTGAGTGGACTCCGGCTGAGACGAAAGATTTAATTAGCGAATGGTATGTCAGAAGATAAACTCCCAGCCTATAGTCTAACTTAAAATGATGTGAATTTTTCCGTGCTTTTAAAAGAACCAGTATTTTGTTTACTAAAATAAAATACATTTGTAAAAAGGGTGTCTCCGGTCTTTGGAATAAGCCAAAGTAGGTGTATGTCTCCCTCTCCCTCTCCCTCTCTCCCC